CCTAATGCTCCAAAAGGATTACAAGATGCTTTTAAGGATTTTACAAAGCCAAAATATTGGCAAAAACATGTTTGGGAGCTTGATCCTGATGATCAGAATAACAATGGATACCAAAATGAAGATCTTATTGTCTGGATGAGAACTGCAGCCTTGCCGACATTTAGAAAATTATATCGCAGAGTTGATCACAACATTTCTGGTTTTATGGATGGCCTTATGAGGGGAAAGTATGAGTTACTAGTGAATTACAGTAAGTGCTATCATTTTGAAAACTTTCCAATGAAAATCAGTACTACTTGTTACATTTCAGCTTATGATGTGAGTCATTTTGATGGGTCTAAAAGAATGATTTTGAGTACAACTTCACTTATAGGTGGAAAAAATCCATTCCTAGGAATTGCTTATATAGTTGTTGGTTGTTTATGCTTGCTATTAGGCATAACACTCCTTTTCATTCATATTAAAATGGGAAAAAGGTACCTAACTAACACAAGCAATAATTAATGCAAATATTACTTACCTAATACAATTTTTTTGCAGCACCACCGAAATAATTAACGTCACTCCTAGAACTCCGTGGACTCCACAGTAGTGAATCTAGTGATACACAAAGAAAAAAGTACTTGTTGCCTTAACAGTATTTTTGATAACTAACGTTATAAATAACAATCAACAAATTTTAAATCTCACCAAAATTTCTTAGAAATAGATAAAAAATAAAATGCTTTTTTATGAAATAGAAGATGTATGTAATCCAACGAGCTTGAAATGACGTAAAAGAAAAAACTTAGAGAAACACTGTTCAATCAATAATTATTGTTGTTATTGAATATTTATAGCTGTTCATCCTCACCACATTGTGATTTTATTATGTTACCTATTTTTAATGTATGTATTTATGTACAGTAGGTATTATTTTTACATACGTTGTTTTTAATGTAATTAGTTATTTAAGAAATAAATTATTATTGCACTAAATTCTAAATTTGTAATTTATAAAACTAACGAGTCTTTTAGAAGAGACAAAATGACTTAAAAAATAATTTGCCAACCGTATTTCATTGCTATAATTAATATATCCTTTTTTAACATGAAATAATAAATAACTTTGCAAGAATTTATTTTATTGCAAAATAAGAAACAGTTAGGTAATATTCGTTACGTTATTGCAAAATAGAAACGATTTATGAACTTCCATGTTGATTTATGAAACATTATTGAAAGTAGTGATAAGAATAACGAGTTGTTACTTCATAAAATTCAATTTTTAAAATTTTAACTTTTAACGTTACTCTTATTTTACCGGATTAAAAAAATATAACATGGACTATGAAAATATATCACGTTATCTCTCCAACAGCTACATATTTACAGACATTATTATTACTTTACAATTCAACGGAAGATAGCAAATCATTAAACGGAGAATCAATTTGGTCTTTAACTTTATCAAAACTATCGATAAATGTTTGTCTTTGTTTGTCATTAGTTAAATTTTTATAGAAATCGGCACCTGCTATGCATAACATTTTCCTGTCCTCATACTCGAAACGTCCTATCCTCGCCTGCATATACGGGAAGAAGGATCGCAACCAAGGATTCGTACTGGCACTTACAAAGAAACAGGAAAGATACCAGGTTGCCATTGACATAGAAAAACTGTTGGTGAAATTTGACAAGCTAAAGACGACCCAATCTTGAAGTAACGGCAATTGAGACTGGTTAATAGAGTTTTCAAAAACCTGAAAATTCATTTTAAATTAGTAAATAAATCTAAATTATTGACAATTTATGTAGGTATGTACTCAGAAACAAACCTACACATTTAATAATCGCTTTTACGGAACAAATTCTATGATCACGATGATGTTGATATGTACTTACTTTAAAAACAACGCTGCTTAAGAGTTTAGGGTGAGGCTGTTGCTGTGATAAAAATTCCCCCAACACCTTTGTTAAAATATCAGCAGGTGTAAAAAAATAATTCAAAATGTCAGGTAAAATGCTGCACAGAATTTGAACTTGAAACGGAAATCCTTTTTTAATATGATCAAAAATAATCGACACCTTTTCTAATAAATGAACCAAATTATCTGGGTTGTCTTCCAGCTCATTCCCTTTCTTTTTTAAACTATCTGTAAAAAAAATAAATTTTTATTAATAGTAATGAAAGGAATTATGTACATTGTACTAATACTAACTTGTGTAAGTACAGCTTAATAGCAGTTGTATTGCGCACAAGTCTAAAGGAAAAGTTTTAGTTTTAATATTTTCAATAGCGATTTTCATTATAAGGTCAATGTATTTGTTTGATAAGCACTTCTTAATTATAAGTCGCTCTAGGCCCTGAAAAAGAAAGCACTCACTTCAGTTTTATACACAAGAAAAGTATATAATTTAATTTACTTTTAAAATAGCTAATTGAAAATGAGTTGATACTTTTGATTGTAACACTGAAGAAGCAGATTGTAACACAACTGATGTAAATTGAGGTTCCAAGTTATTTTCTTCTAGATTCTCTATAATATAAAATGCTACAGCCCACGTCGTCAAAGTGTGTTCTAAAGACTGACTTAGTACACTAAAAAAAGAAAATTCACAAACTATTCAATAAATAAGACATGTTCTTACTCTGTTTTTGAAGGTGTGTGACACTGCACATAGTCTGTTATAATTGGCAATATTAGTTGTACTTCATCTGAAAGCGTCCCAATGTGGATGCTTCCTAAAACATTGCCTTGTAACAAATATAAAATCCCATGTAATGCTGCAGTTCGGCAGGGTATAAATGTACTCTTTAAATTCTGTACAATTATTTTTTTTATGGCTTCATAAGTCTCCAGTTCCTTGAAACAATATGAAATAAATTGTAATAATCTGATAACATATTTTCTTAATGTACACTTACAGTACTCAAAACTGCTGCTGCCTTGCAACAACCTACAACAATATATTGATGCAGTACTTCGTCTTCATGTGTATGAATCTTTGACAGTGTTAAAAAGGAATCTAACATCCATTCAAATTGGGCCTTGTCAGTAAATAAATCAGATATCATGAGAGTGGACTGTACAACTTCATGCAATATTCTTATGTTGGTTTCCTAAGATGTGCACATTTAAATTAAAGTAATCAAAATGTAGACAAATTAAATTCAATCTTGTATGTTATATGCAAAAAGTGCTATGGAAGTTAATAGAGAAAATGATAGAAAGGATGAGACATTAAGGATTAGTTAGACATATTAGAAGCAGAAACAGAAGTAAAGAGGAGCGGAGGAAGACTCTAGATTAGATTACTGTTTGAAAATGGTTAGGTATGTGGAATGTTCTAGTTTTCTAGAAATGTGAAGGCCTATAATGATGATGATATGTATTACCTCGGTCGTAAGCCACTGAGAATAATGGTCCAGTAAAAACTGTAAACACGAATTGATATCTAAACCACTTTCTTCCAGGACTTTTTTCCTGGTTTTATAAACTTGAGTTACATAATTATTCTTATTCATCGATTCAGCAGTATTTGACGCTATCGCCAAATATTCGACGGATAATTGACCATATGAATATGACGAATTAATTTTTTCTAAATTAGACATTGAAAAAACGTTAATTAATTTGTTATTAATATCGTGGGTCTCTGCATACTCTCTGAACTGGTTTACCAGTTTATTTTGGACATTTTTTAGTCGATATACACTGAAAAATATCGAGTGTAAATGTATAGTTCATGTTAAGTCTATGTTTTAACAAATATAGGAACAAACCTTTCAAGACTTGTGTCAAAGGGCTTATTTCTTGGTACATGTAAAGTTATTGAAACATTTGGATTGCCAATCATTGGGGTGTACAATGTTTGTAATAAAAGTGAGGTAATAGCTTTAACAGCAATACTGGTAGATCTTGTTTCATTTGCTTCCTCTGTAAACCCGTCTTCGGCAGATGTCGAATTTAAAACACTCAACAAACTCATCCAAGTCTCTTCAAACTGTTGTCTACTGGTCCATCCTAATAGCGAAATTCTAATTGAAAAAAAAAATATGACTTTAGCTTTATGCAATAATCTTTTATTAACTATTAATTACTCACCTAAATATAAACTCTTCAAGTATATCAACTTCTTTTAAGAATTCGATGGGTAACTGAGGAACTAAAGTGGCAAAAATACCAGATAATTCAACCGAAAACCCACACTTCCAAGCACTGGGAGGAGTTAATATGTAAGAATTAACCAGAGGCAGTCTAGCTAATGAAATTATCAAACTTCTAATAGGCTGGATAAAATATTTAGGAATATCGGTCGTATCAAAATACTTTTCCAACCAAGTAACGAGCACAGACAACTGATAACAACAATGACCAGCAGACAGGGTTTCAACATTTTCTAAAGTGTTTTTCAAACTATTCTTAGAAACTACTGGAAGAGAATTATTATCTGCTAACAACTGATTAACAATTTTATAAATAGAATTAACAGCAGAACACAACCAAGATACGTGCGTATCCAAACCTAAAATTCCGCACAAATGAACTTCTTTACAAATAACGTCGGCACAATTTAACGCATCTACGATATATTTCATTAATTTACATTTATATACATCTAACGTAAAATTAACAGACTCTAAACAAATCACAGCGAACTTTATAAAGTCTTCGAAATAATTATCTGGTATCTTTGTGGTAGGGAGAGATGGAAGGGATTTTATGTAATAGGTAACACAGGGAATTGTTTCGTTTAAAAACGACCATACAAATTCGTCAGAAAATATCTCAGTTAATTTATTGGAAAATTTCAATTCTGAAGGAGACGGTTCTCTATCCAAAACTCTGTATACCTAATGATTAAATAATACCCAAATTATACTGGCAATAAATATTAAAAAAAATCCAACTTACTTGATGGGGTTTTGGTATGAAACTTCTAATACGTCTCACGATATCCAATACATTAGCAATAGCTGCTTTGAACAGAATGGGTTCCTCTTTCAAGTTTTCTTCTCTGATTTTGTTAACAGATACATTAATGCATTCTTTCAGCACTGTTTTGTTAAAGTCTTTTATGCCCATTAAACTTAAAAGGTCTTCGTTATCTAGATGCGACAGTAACTCCGCCATTTCGGTGCTGAGGCTTGAATTGTAACAATTGTGTTTTATTTGGGTCATAAACCAGGTTTTGTTCACGTGTAAGTTCTTTATGTACTCTGGATTAACAGTTCGTCTTTGCTCCATTTCTAGAGGGCTCAAATCATAACACTGAGTTGCTAACTTGTTTAAAAGAGCCACCAGAGTCTCGTGCCTAGGAAAATAAAACAGAAAATTAAACAAATATTAACATTTAACTAGAAACAAAAATTTACTTTCTGGCTAATTTCGTTTTAACCATTAAATCCATAATATGATTGAAATCTTCTCGGGGGAGTTGTGCATTGACTTCTTCTACTGACATTGTTAATAATAATTCTACTTTTCTACTGGCTACGTTGGCTACCAGCCTTGAAATAGCCAGCTGTCTCGAATTCAACAGTTTTGGTAGAAGAAGCTTCAAAACAGAACCAATTTGAGAGGGGTGTGCATTCTCAATACTCTTTAGAACTTTAACATTAAAACTGGGCTGAAAGATATTTATATTTATTGTAATATGTTTCCTTTACAGAGAGTCTTTTTTACCTCAGATTTATTTAAACATTTAGCTGTAACTGCTTGAATAACTAAACTACTGGCTGAGGAATTTCTATGTAAAGACGTTAAAAATTCAAATACAGGAGGCTCGTTACTTAAAACCACCAAAGACTCGATTGTATTCACCAAAAACCATGAAAGTTGTTCCCCGTCTAACATATTTTCACTCTGAAGTTGATACTGATTCAAAAGTTAATACTTAAAAAGTTTTTACTTTTACTTACCAAATAATCACAAAAAGTAATTACCCCTCCAATTCGTACAATAGCTGACATGATAGATTTAGAATCTTCAGGTACACTAGACTTTCTAGAGATTTATTCTTCTATTTATTTACTATTACTATTATGATGGAGATTAAAAAAATACTTACAATTGTTCAATGATTCCATAACAGTCTGTAACTTGCATAATTTTTGCCCAAAATTTACGATTATTATAGTTTAAAAGTGCAAGAAGATAACACCAATAAAATGTAACATTTGGATAAAAAGAAGATAAGTACAGGAAATTTGAGTTAATTTCCTCAATAGAAACTTTTTCATTATCTTCATTAAAATCCGATAAACTGCTCTCATTAAACATATTAGTTGCTGTGTGCGTTATTTTGCAGTGGCTTCCTAAGTTCAAAATGTAATAAAAACAACAATCAGTGTATTAAGATTTAAACAGTCTTACCTGATTGAAGCATATGCAGACAGAATATCAAGAAATCAGAGAACTGATTTATTAAATAGTTTTCCTTTCCACTTTTCACAACTTCCAGACAATTATCTGACACTATTTCGATAACCCTGAACAGAAATTTTACAAAAATAACTTCGGGGGGCACTCCACTAAAAATCTCAGTGGTGTTGGTTACATTAAGAGGATCCGACGTAATTATTGTGCTACGAAAAACACTATGGGGAGAAAATTCCTCCTGAATCTCAACTATTTCCGAAAGCAACACATCTTCTTTAATATGACTAACCATGAACAATAATGTGATAACTTTACCAAGCCAACGATTCACACAAGTTAAATTATTTTCCTAAAAATTCATTAATTGCTTTATTATTTTACAATAATATTAGTAAATAAGTAGCTTACGTGTTTTAAGGGATTTTCAAATAAAAGAATCAAAATATTTTGCAATGGCATAAAAGCTTGGTGATTCAGCACTAAGATGAGTTGTTTCATGGATACCAAGGCTCCTTTTTGATTGATCCTGATCTTGTTCATCTTTAACATTGGAAGCAACGTTTCGATAGTTTGTCTGGACCATCGCAACCATTTCTCTAAGTTATCATTACAATATCTGCTTTCGTTTAAAACGAGTACCAACAAATCAATCACTTCCGGATATTCCAAAAGACGAAGTAACATCGTGAAAAGAACTTCTCGTGTTGTTTCCAGTTCTTTGTAATCCGTAATATTCGATTTGTTCCGCAGAAGAAATATGTCTTGAACGACGGGCTTAAGAGCGGCTATACAATATTTAAGGGGCGGCTGGCCACTGGCCATAAGGCCGTCGCAAAGTTGAAGTATCTTTGGAATGTCTATTATCATTTTCGAATGCTGTTTTGCGTAAGATAAATGCACCAGGAAATCGAAAATTCTTGGAATTATTTCTTCAGGTAAACTATAAAGTTACTTTTCGTTTTTATTGTGAAAGATGAAAAACAACTAAATTACGTACTTTATTTGACCTTCTTCGATAAATTCAAACTGCTTTATAACAAAACCAATAAATATTTGTTCTGAATCGAGAAGACAATAATTTATTTTGAGTTGAACTAATTGACACAAAAGTTTAAGAACTTTGCATTGTAATAAAACATCGCTGGTAATTCTGTACACCTACAAATTAAAGTCAATATTTTTAATAACAAAGAAAGTTTCACAACTAAAAGAAAACACTTACTTGTAAAGATTTTATTACCATTGGTTCAAATAATTTAATATAGCTGGCCAAAGCTTTTTCTGAACTTCTAGAAGTAGTGAGAATTTTTCTGTGCAAGTATCCCATCACGGTGTTGTCATCGTTTTTCTTCACTTTACTTGAACCACGTAACTTTTCCAAAAATGTTGTCGTTTCGTTATAGGGTTTTTGGAAAATGTTGTGATAAAAAGTAAAATCAATTTCTGGCTCCTTAAATACAATAAAATTCGAATTAAGTAATGAAATAAATTAATTACGAATGAGTCAAAAAACTTACGTTACGCTTATCGTAATCATCCAAATTACTAATTGTAAATGTAAGATTTGCTCCAAAAAGACTTTTTAGAAGCTGCTGTACACATTCGACGCTATTTGGAGGTGTTAAGATAAAAATAGTTTGTAAAAGGGTTAAGAGGTCTTCCGCAACAGGGCCAGACTCATGTAAGCTTCCAATCTCTAATATCAATGAAAGGGCATTTAAAGTAATTTTTAATAATTCCACAAACATTCCAGAATTCTCAAAATCCAATGTTATCTGGAAAAGCATATGAAATATTGAAGTGAAAATAGATGAAAATGTTAACATTACCTTGTAATTGGTATAAGCAGTTTTGAAAATATCATACATTTTTATGTAGTGTGGAAGGAACGCAAAAACGGTCCCTACATTAACTTTTGTATCACTTTTTTTCTCTCCCTTATCTTCCTTATCAGAGCTTTTTATTGGTGATAACAACTTTACTTTTTCGATTGCATCATTTTTTCGTTTTTTAATGGGTGAAGGTGGCAAATTAGCCAACATTGGTTTATTTTGGGGCACTGAAGGGGTTGTGTTTTCTATTACATGCACAAAGATATTTAACAGTCGCATGGTGTGACCCATAAATTGATCCGTTATTGTAGCTAGATTTCTGTCTTCAAACATGTCCCATTGTAGATTGTTGCCTTCTACGTCAAAGTCCACTTTAGGTTTTAAATTTGCTAATGCTACACCTACGAACAATACAAATATATCATTAATTTATATTAAATAAACGGGTATTTTTCAATTTCATTTCAATTTTTTACCAGATTAAATTCAATTTTTAAAATTTTAACTTTTAACGTTACTCTTATTTTACCGGATTAAAAAAATATAACATGGACTATGAAAATATATCACGTTATCTCTCCAACAGCTACATATTTACAGACATTATTATTACTTTACAATTCAACGGAAGATAGCAAATCATTAAACGGAGAATCAATTTGGTCTTTAACTTTATCAAAACTATCGATAAATGTTTGTCTTTGTTTGTCATTAGTTAAATTTTTATAGAAATCGGCACCTGCTATGCATAACATTTTCCTGTCCTCATACTCGAAACGTCCTATCCTCGCCTGCATATACGGGAAGAAGGATCGCAACCAAGGATTCGTACTGGCACTTACAAAGAAACAGGAAAGATACCAGGTTGCCATTGACATAGAAAAACTGTTGGTGAAATTTGACAAGCTAAAGACGACCCAATCTTGAAGTAACGGCAATTGAGACTGGTTAATAGAGTTTTCAAAAACCTGAAAATTCATTTTAAATTAGTAAATAAATCTAAATTATTGACAATTTATGTAGGTATGTACTCAGAAACAAACCTACACATTTAATAATCGCTTTTACGGAACAAATTCTATGATCACGATGATGTTGATATGTACTTACTTTAAAAACAACGCTGCTTAAGAGTTTAGGGTGAGGCTGTTGCTGTGATAAAAATTCCCCCAACACCTTTGTTAAAATATCAGCAGGTGTAAAAAAATAATTCAAAATGTCAGGTAAAATGCTGCACAGAATTTGAACTTGAAACGGAAATCCTTTTTTAATATGATCAAAAATAATCGACACCTTTTCTAATAAATGAACCAAATTATCTGGGTTGTCTTCCAGCTCATTCCCTTTCTTTTTTAAACTATCTGTAAAAAAAATAAATTTTTATTAATAGTAATGAAAGGAATTATGTACATTGTACTAATACTAACTTGTGTAAGTACAGCTTAATAGCAGTTGTATTGCGCACAAGTCTAAAGGAAAAGTTTTAGTTTTAATATTTTCAATAGCGATTTTCATTAT